CCAACCCACCCCCCGAAAGAAACATCTCTTTTTCAATAAAAATGCTTCCAGTCTCGGTAATCGAACTCCCGCCGTGTGCGTGCAATCGTGAAGCGCTTAATCACTGCACCAAAGACGCAGGTAAAGAATTAATCGAAGCAACCCTTCTGTTCTGATGCATTGTAAAATGAAACCCATTATGCTACCATTTCTAGACCTTCTGGACATTAAGTAAAAGCCAAGAAAGCAAAGCCACTGTATGCGAGTTGAAATGTCTCTTAAAGAACCCAAACTTCACAAGAAGAGACAGGTAGAGAAATTAAGATGTACGAGCAACTGTTGGTTTGGAGGCCTGCGTGCATTTCACAGACAAACAAAGAATAAAATCATGTTACGAATGCCACATAACCAGCCAAACTCGAGAGCCCATAACACCAGGCTTTCAGGCTATTTTGGAAGAATAATACGACTCAAAAGATGCTTTGAGGGAGTCAATGAAACCTAAGAAACGATGAAATCCCAATTGAAAGAGGTGCTGCGCTGGCCTACCAGGCATAAGCAGCTGCATCTCTTCTCCTCGCTCGGCAATAGAGGATGGAAAAAAAATAACAGTAAAATAAAAGTAAACCATCTGTTAAAAAGAGATGTACACTATTATAACAATAACATAGCGGTCTGGAAAAAGGCATCAACTGAATGTGGGAGAGTAAAACAAAAATGAGACATCGTGGTGAAATCAGGCGGTCGGCAAATAATGAAATGGAAGAAATCGGCCTTTTTCTGCCCATTTGGCAATTTATATCGATTTTTTAAATTCTTTTGGCTCAACACCTTTTGTGTCATGCAAAAACACATTCATTTCTGGGTGGATTGACTGAAAAACGTTGATTGAGGCTCACAAAAATTTGAATTTGAAGTTTCCAAAAACTCCCAAGCTTTGGAAGTCATAAAATTTGTAGGCCAATTCTCGCTAATTTGATGAAGTCTGAAACCAGGCAACCCCCACCTCCTTCCATTGCAAATATCTCGACTTCTATTAAAGATGGGTGCTTAAATTATCTAAAGCAAGACAGGTGAACAGGTTTAAAGATGATATAAATAATTCCATTTGCCCCATAAAAGTGACGAACGCCTGCCTGATTCCACCGTGTCTTAACAGGTTGAGGTGTTGAGGAAAGCTCGTAAGACCCAACAGGTGGAAGGAGGGGTGTCTACCTTACATTCTTCTGAACTCATAAATCGTTATAGAACAAGAACAAAAGCATGAATATAACATGTAGATCTGTAGGGGTTACGTACTGCTTTTGACTCTATGAATATTAATAGCCGCTATATCTAAGTGAAAACAAAAACATAACCTTTGAATAAATAATAAAATGTGCGCTCTTTTCGGGTTTCAATGTGATGCTTATGTTGCTGTTATTGCTGTTTTTCAATCTACTCTTTTTAAACACCAGTTATTTCATTGTTGCTGCTGCTACGTGCTGCTGTGGTTGTTGTTATTGGTGTTGTTTTTGTTGTTGTTGTTGTTGTTGTTGTTGTTGTTGTTGTTGTCGTTGTCGTTGTTGTTGTTGTTGTTGTTGTTGTTGTTGTTGTTGTTGTTATTGATACATTTTCATTATGATCATCACTAATATCAAATTAGAACAGCATAGGTGTGTGCATGTTTGTGTATTCATGTAAGTATATTACGTGTGTCTATATGCGAGCACGTGTGCACGCACGAGCGCATAATATGTGTGTGTGTTTGTGTTTGTGTTTGTGTTTGTGTTTGTGTGTATGTGTATGTGTGTGCGTGTGTGTGTGTATGTGTGTGCGTGTGTGCGTGTGTGCGTGTGTGTGTATGTCTGTTTATGTGTGTGTTTGCGTTTATGTATGTTCTATTCTACCTACGGATGAAACAAGACACTAAGCATCATACATCTTGATAGCGTAAGACCAAGGTGTAGTGAGAGGCAGGAGACGAGAGACATTCTATCTGCTCGTATTTTGTTCCAACATTCCCGGACCTGTGCCAAGACGTGTCAGTGTTTACGCATGCGTGCTGAGTATTTCTTGTCGTACGCACGTCACGAGATTATTAGAGTTCCTTTTTTTGCAGGAAAAAAAGGTGGAACCAACAATGGGAGTGTGCGCATGAGGTGTGGGGTTTTTTTTTTGGGGGGGGGGGGCACAGATGGGAAGGGACAGCTGGGAATGAGGTTAACCAGTGATAAATCAATCCACCGACAAAAGGTGCATCCTGGTTCTTTACTCAGGACACTGACAAGGATTTGCACCCAGTCAGCTCACAACTTGCTCACACGTGCAAAATCTTTGTCTTTTCTTTTCCCCTCTCTTCGTCGTCCCCCTTTCTTCCTTCCTTTCTTCATCCCCTCCCTTCCGGAGCACTCTCTCAGCATTTCCTTATCTCTTTGTGAATCCGCCTGTCTGTTTGTCTCTCTGTTTTGTCTGTCTGTTTGTATCTTTGTTTGTGTGTGTATGACTGCCTATCTGTCTGTTTGCCCGTTTCTTTTTCTCTACTTCTCGCCTCTCTCTCTCTCTCTCTCTCTCTCTCTCTCTCTCTCTCTCTCTCTCTCTCTCTCTCTCTCTCTTTCACTCTCCCCCCCCTCTCTCTCTCTCTTTCTCTCTCTCTTTCTCTCTCTCCTCACTTTCTCCGTTTCTAATCGCTGTATTTCAAAACCAGGTAAATTTGGCTGGGATTCTCAGCTTTCTTCGTCTGCAGCTCTCATAGACCATACTGTTTACTTTTTGGCCATTATAAGAACATGATTCAGCTGAACTAGGTTTTCTTGTTAAGTCTACCGGCTTTGAGAAAGCGGAGACGTACGTCCACAGACAAATGTAATTGGTCGTCACTTCTCGTATTCCATTCTAAATAATACGATCATAACATAAATTTTTATCGTAACGATACAGACAAATAAAAAATGCCGGAACGTTTACATTCAATTCTAATTCCAAGCTCTGGTTACAGCATAAACAGTATGTAATATACAGAAAATGCTGAAACACTCACTGGCTTTTGATTGATTTTCAAACGTCTGACTACAGAGCAAATCAGACAGTTTGAGACAGAAAAATAATGCTTAAACACTCACTGGCATTTGATCTGAAAGTTTGAGACTGAAAATAAAAATGCCGGAACTCACACTTTTTATTCATGTTCCACGTTCTGGTGTAGAAATCAATTTGGAGGACATTTAATTTCTAACGTTTTTCCAAGTACCGGATGCAAAACAAACAAGCAAACACATAAAAAATAGATAGATCTATATAATATCACAAAATAAATTAGCCGAAGCGGCAATGCCTAGATTAACTCTTTCTACTCTCTGCACAGCCTTTCATTACAGCAAACCGTGTAGAACAATAAAAAGGGTTATAGACAACTCGTGGCATTTAGATCTATGCCAGACAGCACGGAAACAAAGAGAAAGACGTTTTACAGACAAGTTCAAGTGACCTGATAATATTTCCATTGACAACCTACCATCACCCCAGTCAGCTGTATCTTAAGTTAAGCTCGGTTGGTATCAAGATGAGCCTGCTGTGCTGCCGCTGTGGTTCCAATCCCAAAACGGAGCACATTAATTGAAATCAGGTTGTCTAAAAAGAAACCGCTGCTCTTAACCCTCTTTATCTTTGTCCTATCATAGATGAATGAAAATCTGACATTCTGCTTCTGAAGTGGACTTAATTGGATTGAAAAGTGGTGTACAAATTTGTCAAACAGCACCTACCTGTGAGAGAGGCCAAGCCTGCTAGACACACCAGCACACAGAGAACTGTGACGCGTCCCCTGGCCTGAAGTGAAGAATTGTTATTTTGTCAGTGTTTTGCGTTCTAATTTACACAATTTAGATAATTGAGATTTAGAAAATGGATTATGTATCTAGCTGAAACATTATTACTATCAATTAATAATAGTTTTAGCTGTTCACTTTTATATCTTTCGATAGTGGCCGCTGGTCTGTTTATGGTGTATTATTATTATATAATGTTGAAAGGTAATAGAAAATGTGCAAGAGAAGATGTGTCAGAGAGTATAATGTGTGTATGGGTATGCATGTATGCGTGCGCGTATGTATGTATGTATATGTGTGTGTGTTTGTCTGTGTGTGATTGTGTGTAATTGTGCGTGCGTGTGTGTGTGTTCATGGATGGCAAACATCCAACCAAAGTGCCAACGCCTGGACCATAAGGATTTATCTTATCTTATCTTATTTTATCTTATCTTATCTTATCTTATCTTATCTTATCTTATCTTATCTTATCTTATCTTATTTTATCTTGTGGGAAACGGCCTGCTTCAGCCGTGCCTGTTAGGGCCAACCTGGGCTGAGTGGGATACAACAGGCCAGCAGTCATCCGGGGATACTCGATTTTTAAAAATGTACTCCACGCAAGAGAATCGAACTCACGCCTTAAGCATATCAAGCGAAGAACTTAACTATAACCCTAAAGACGTGGATGTAAAGCAAAACAAAAAAAAGGGGGGAGGGGGGAGGCGGGGTATTTATAGCCTAGAAAAATACGGTCAAGGGTGTATAGTTGCTGATTCAGCCAAACTGATCACTTCTGTACCGCTCTTAAGGTTTTAGCACACGCCCGGACGGGTGAGCCATTGTCATGATAGTACATGTAATAAGTTTTTCGGTGCTTTAAAGGAAGATATTTTAAGGGTGATAAAATGAAAATGCTTTCTGTGAATGCTGGTAATATGAAGGTTGACAAGTACTGATCTATAGGTTAAAAGCACCATACCTGCATATCATGTCCGAGCTAATTGTGTGGTAAGGGCCAATTACATGTCACCTTGCCAACTGCGTGGCAAATTTGCTCGCACTAGATCGATACATTTTGCGCCAAATCTTTTACCGCTTTCCAGTCGAAATTACGGAGTAATGCGTCTCTTTGCAATGACGTCAAGCCAATTGTGTATTACATGTCTTCTTCTTTGCACATCATAGTATTGTATTCGTCTGTCTCCACAAGAGATTTCAGCTTCAATGCTCAACAGGGCCTGGTGGAGTAATACTATCCTAAGCAATCTCGGTCAAGGAAATGTTTCCCTCAAAGTGATATGAAACTGGCAACGGTGTCGCACGTACAAAATATCGTACGGCCTCTTTGTGTATACAACTTTTACCACAAAATCGGCAGCATAGCACTCGACTGGCTCCCTGCCACAGAATTGACTCCTTGCAACATGCCACATAATTGGGCACCACACTTTCTAGCCAAGTAATTGAGCACCACACATGATAATATTACAATAAAAGAAAGGTGACTTTGTATAAATGGGCGAAGCAAGCATGCTCGTGAACATTAGCGATGCTTTTCACCCTTTTGACAACTTGATAGTAAGTGCTCCGGGATGTGGAATGGGAAACATTAAGGGATCTTGAAAGCCCTTCTGTGACTCCAGCAAAACCCAATAAAGGGTATAGTGTATAGTTGCACAACGTTGCGTTCCACGAAGTTTTCTCTACGTAAGCCTATCAGTTGCCATGGAAAGCATCATATTAAGAAGCTTTGCAAGAGAACGTTTCAAAATATGTGGTCTTTTTTAAGGACAGGCGGGGTTTCCAGAAATCTTGACCTACACCAAAAGTGGGCATTGCCCTATCTATATATAGGAGAAGTTAAGTTTCATAGGTGTGTATATTTGTTTGGTTATAGAGAAAACTGTCCTTGTTTTTTAAAGAAACTGAATAAGGGGCAAAAACTTTACCTTCAATTTTCTCAGAACAGCATTTTTCGGGATAGCCCCCTTGTGCTTAAAAGCGACCATGTATATGTGCTTATCAGTTTTCATGGAATGCATCATGTTCAGAAGCTTTGCAAGAGAACGTACCAAGATATATATATAGAT